CTCGGTCATACGTGGTACCTACGCACGGGTTCACCAAAGTTTTCCTCGGTTAAGTTCATAGCTCGAGAACCTGAAAAGCTAAAAGACTGTACTTTCAAAAAGATGTTCCCCGTCCAAATAAGTCTCAATGAGCTCAAACCCAGACATTGGGTATGCGTGGTAACCGCGTGCACACCCGTGAAAATTTTTTTCCAGTAAGTTGCTAACTCAGGAGCCAGGAAAACTAGAGAGCCGAAATCCTAAGGGGGGTGTTTCCTGCCAGTTCTGGCAGCCAGTCTTGGTCTGTTTAGCTTGAAACATTTGCCGAAAAAACGGATGCCGATAGCGGCAAAAACTGCAGGGAACTACGCAAAAAACGCAACTTCACACGAGGAGCCCGTGCGTTGGCCAATTATTCTGTATTGCATAGATGCAAAAAAAAGCACCAAAAAAAACCAAGGAATGATTACAAATACGTACAAATGCGAAAGGATAATACATGCTTGAAAATACTCGTAATGATCACCGGACTTCTACAGCAGTGTTAAAATTTGTGTAAAAGAACTGACAGTTGCGATAGCGTTTTACGCAAAATTCACAAATCATCATCATCGTCATTATCATCATCATCAAAAGAGTGCAGTTAATTCTGAAAACCAGGATAACTGATCAAGTAAAATGTACAAATTTCCGATTGCTGGAACAATTACTGCATTTAGACAGGAATTCATAAGGAACTCTCAAAATTCATGAAAAAGCTTGTGAGAAAAATTTTTTCGAACTAGGGACAGGATACGAAGCCCCAGCCGAGGCTTTATATAATCCTTTGTTATGTTCCAGAAATTTGATTTTCTAATTTACGGTATTCTAAATAGATTTTCAGCTCGTTAGAAAGCAATGTTTCAAAAAGGGGTGAGATCAAAAATCAAGTTTTAAGACTCTCCATTCGGATACCCATATCAGTCTTCGCGTCCCGTTCATATTCTTCTTTTGTGATGAGCTCAATTCCAGCTTCACCAACCGGTACAAAGCAGCCTCCCATCTCCTTCACACACAACTGCAAAAAATAATAAAAACAGTCGCTGGATAAGTATCAGTTCCACAATTCAGTTAATTTGGACCGACGATTGCCATTATGATGAAGCAGCACTTCCACTGAAGATAGCCACTACAAAAACCGGCACCTTTGTTAGCGCAAGCAACCCTCAAAAGGAAGGATACCATCGACAGCCTTGCAAGCGGATGTTCACCAATTTGCATTTGCCACCAATACGGCTACTTCCGAATGCTTCTACTTTTCAGAAAGCAAAAAAAGGGAGAGAGCGGTTTCGGTACTTTTCACATAAATATAACGTAACTACACGAGACATTCTAAAAAATTTTGTATTTTTTTGAATAGATTAGCTTAAACGTATGTGACTGGTATAAATACATACATACATACATACATACATACATACATACATACATACATACATACATACATAC